GAATTTTCCAGGCAAGAATACTGGGGTGGATTGCCATTTCCTCTTCCATGACCCAGGGATCTTCATGACCCATGAATCTAATCCGCATCTCCTGCATTGCAAGTGGATTCTTTACCACTGAGCCACCAGGGAAGCCTGGAGAGATCGATACATCTGGGAAAAAAATATCTTGTCTGACTCTCCCTGAAGGCTAGTTTCAAGCAGACCGCTGAGCTGTTTTATCTGTCTGCCAGTCTGGGATGATGACCTCTTTTCAAGGTATTTAAAAGAGCAGCATAAGTGTCATATCTCCTCTTCACTGCTGTTTCAATCAGGCTGCTATCAGGAGTTAGACTTCATCCCAGATGGCTGGAATTCAGGAACCTTAGCAGAGTGGTTACTTGCAGGTGAATGGGCCGGTTTAGAAGAATTGAGGCAGGCAGATGCTAGCAACCACGGGAAATAGTTGCTACTCAGCTTTCCTAGTGGCTCAGTGGCGAAGACTCCACCTGCCAGTGCAGGAGACTTAGGAGACATGGGTTCGATCCCTGGGTTGGGGAAGAGCCCCTGGAGGAAGTGAAAAGAAAGTGTGAAGGTGTTAGTCACTCAGGCGTGTCTGACTCTGCAACCCCATGGGCTGTAGCCCGCCAGACTCCTCTGTCCATAAGATTTCCCAGGCAAGAATACTGGAGTGGGCTGCCATTCCCTTCTCCAGGACATCTTCATGACCTAGGGGTGGAACCTGGATATCCTGCATTGCAGGTGGATTCTTTATCATCTGAGCCAACAGGGAAGCCCTCCTCTGGAGAAGGAAATGGAATCCACTTCAGTATTCTTGCCTGGAAAATCCCATGGGCAGAGGAGCCTGGCAGGCTACAGTCCACAGGGTTGCAAAGAGTTGGATGCTTCTGAGCACATATAGAAAGCTGAAAGATATCCAGTATAATTGTTCTTTACCATCAACCAAAGATTTTCCCCCATTTTCTTAAGTTTCCCATCTGCTTCCCATCAGATACTTTTATTTTTTTTTAACAATGCAACATCTTGACTTCTTGTTAATTCATTAAGTGAAAGTATTTTTGGTTGTAATGTATGAGTATGGGGATTCACCTGAGAAATAGTTGATCAAATTTTTTCACATGAACAAATTGGACTTGGGGAATTTCTAAATGACATGAAAAAATTTTTTACGTGAGTTTGTGTTCTTTGTCATCAGAAAATGTAATTCTTGCAGAATGCATTATTGGTACCATAATATTTAGCACATGTTATTGTCAACTGTATACATGTAATTGAAGGTTTTTCAAAGTGGGCATTTTAATGTAATCTCTGATCCTAGAGATTTCTTGACACTGTAACTTTGATGTGGCTCCTTTGATTGAAGTATGCTTTTATCAGTAGGATTACTACTTTTATTAAAATTATTGTTGGGGTTCAGTGGCCAAGTCACGTCCAACTCTTTGCAACCCCATGGACTACAGCACACCATACTTCCCTGTCCTTCAGCATCTCCCATAGTTTGCTGAAACTCATGTCCCTAGAGTTGGTGATGCCATCCAACCACCTTATCCTCTATTGTCCCCTTCTCCTCTCACCCTCAATCTTTTCCAGCATCGGGGTCTTTTCTAGTGAGTCAGTTCTTTGCATCAGGTGGCCAAAGTATTGGAGCTTCAGCCTCAGTCTCAGGAGCTTCAGTCTCAGCAGCCTCAGTCTCAGGAGCTTCAGTCCTTCCAATGAATATTCATGGTTGATTTCCTTTAGGATTGAATGTGTAAGCTATTTTGTTTTATCCTATACCCAGGTAACATACTCTTGCTGAATTCCACTGTCAGGGATGTGTCGTAAATTGAGGGTGCGGGATGGGATGAGAAATGGGTGAGTTTCCAATATGCAGTGGCCATATTAAAAATAATCCATGCCATTGAAATGGCAGTGGTAAAGTGGCTAGATAAAAAATAAAAACAGAAATGGTCTGCTTGTTTGCACATCTATTCTCTACCCTAAATTGTGAGCAGTTCAGCAGAAACTGAGTTTGGGATCAGCATACAGAAGGATTAACTGCTATATGACTAATTTTCTATATTGCCACTCAGTTTAGCAGTTTGGATTGAGGAAAGGGAAACTACGTGGGTCTGTAGCATTTGATAAACTAGAGGTCCATGAAGAACTATGGTAATGACTGTGAGTGCTGTGTGTGGTGACAAGTGTGCTCCAGCCAGTAACAATGAGGGGATGGTGGACATGGTGGAGTGGTTGGTGGATAGTGCTGGTGAAGGAGTTGTGGAGATAGATACGGGAATGATGATGTTGGTGGCAGAGCTGGCAACATCGGTGGTAGAACTGACGATGCTTATGGTGGTAGAAGACGTAATGAAAGTTGAAGAGGTGAAGATAGTGAGTTGGCCTCACTTCTAATAGAGCTGCTATTAGAAGTGAGGTTGTTGATGGGGATAGGGCAAGTGTTAGTAATGATACTGGTAATTCCATAAATGGTGGTAGAGCTTAGAAATCTTGAAGCTTTATGAAGTGATGTGATATCACATGACATTTAAATTGTTCTGTGTGTCTTTGGCTGGATACAAATAATGAAGCATGGTAAATTTACTTGCAGAGAGATTTGCCATACTGAGCATTCTCATTGCAGATGCTCTTTAAGTTTTTCCTTAATTACTGATACTTGTACCATGCTGTGCCAAAAAGCAACACTCTTGCCAGTTTCAACACTGTGCATAAGTTCTTCTAATAAATATTATTCAGCCCCAATTATTGGATATTTTTAGAGTAAACCTGGCTTCCCCTATTCAATGCAGTGCTCTTCAGAGTTGATTTTTATCCGGAAAGTGATGCTATTTAGTCAGGGATTATCTTTTATCTCTGTTTGCAAAACAGCTGGAAGTGTAGCTACTGAGATTTGATGTTTGTCTTCCTGCACTTGACTGCCAAGCAAAATCATTTCATTTTAATCGACAGAATTTACCTTTGTAAATTAGCATGTGCATATACCATTGAAAGATTGAAACTACAAGTTTGACCTTCTAGTAGGTATAATACATGATCTTTTTTTTTTTTTTTTTGGATAGATAGAGTGTTCTTTGTCTTTCTCATGGTATGTTTGAAATTAAACAAAAATGTCCGTAGTGAATTTTCCCTTTTCATTGTTTAAAGTAAACCTCCTAAAAAAAAAAAAGTAAACCTCCTTCTCTCTGCCTGGCCACAGGTGACTTATTCTTCCAACTGGGAGACCACATTTGATTCTAGAGACCAGTATGAACCTGCTCAACACATTTTCAGCTTAAACAACTGAGAATTTTTCTTATTTGATGTATTTAAGAGTATCCACGGTTTATGGTTACTGAATATTTGCTATGCAGCTGGCACTTTTCATGGCTATCTCATGATATGTTCTAATACATTCACATTTTATGGATAAGAAAAGTGGGGCTTTGGGAGCCACACTTATACTTGGCAGAGCCAGGATTTGGACCCAGCTGCTTACTGGTACCCATGCTCTTAACCGTTATGATACATTTCCTGTAGATTTCCACCAATGTGGAATTTAGTTCAACTCTCCTTTTCTACTTGAAAAACCAAGTAGATTTACTTTTTTTTTTTAAAAACGTCTGGGTTTTTTGGAGAAGAATAAAGATTGCCCTCCAGGAGAAAGGGAACCATATGGAAATTATCCATTTTATTCTTGACTTAGAAAATGTTTGTTTAAATAATGGGATCGGACTTGGAGTTAGAAATCTGTAAGGTTAGTTACACACTCTACAATCTACCAGCCCCGAGATCACAATTTAGTCTCTTAATCCGCAGAATTTGGGACATTAGAGGCTCCTTTCCCTCATTTGCCAAAGAGAGAAATAATCTGCCCTATTCATCTTAGATAGTAACAACTTTGTAAAGATTGAACTCAAAGTAACTTGACTGGACCCCTGCAGTGATGTCCTAATCAATTTCCCTTCTTCTGATCTCTACCTTGCAAAGTTCTTCTCCATGATAGTTTCCCTAAAGTGTCCCGTTAACCATGGCTCTTGTCTCATCAGAAACCTTCTTTATGTAACCATTAACTGTAGGATAAAATTAAAGTGCTTAACTTGATATTCAAGTTCTTTTGCATCTAGTCCCAGCTTAGCCTTCCAATCACACCTTTCACATTCTCCTTTAAAGAACCTATATGCTACTTTATTTTTTTTTTTTTGAAATTTTGAGATTTTTCATTTGAAGGTAAATCTTAATGCTATTAAATTCACAAATATGCTAATTTAAATACCCAATTCTATTATCTAAAACACACATTGCAAACATACAAATATCTATTCTCTCCACATGTCAGAGCCATTCATTTCATGGTTTGGAAATGGGGAGAATAGATTCCCCTTAAACTGCAAGTCAGCAGGTGTTTCTTTACAGTTAACTTTAGCAAAATTCATACAAAATAGTAATTAACAATGATCTTCTTTACTTGTTAACTCACAAGGAAACACCTTCAAAACTGCATTTTGTTAAAGTTTCTGTACTAAAGTGTAGAAAAACTGAACTACACAAATATTGAAAAGTTAAAAATTCCTTAATTTTTTATTCCTGGTACCACTACCACAATTTACAGGGCAATATACCTGATGTAATGAAAAGAAAAAGACAAAGCTACAACAGATAAAAGACCTCAGGAATGTACATCTAATTGACACTACATTGCATTAATCAATAGCTGCACTTTCTGCAAACTGTGGCTATGACAGTCCTGAACAAGAAGGGTTTCCTGTTGAAGCTGCAGTAACTTTTCTGACTGTGGATCATCGTTCCTCCTGTGGCAGATTTTTACAGTTCCTCTAACGCATTTGGGACGACTGTCTCAGAGTAACCTGCAGCTTTCCTGACAACTCCTCGCTCTCTCTCCTGCTAAGAACTGTAGCCCTTTTCTTCTGAGTTTTTAGAACCTTCTGCTACCATATCCACCACTTCCACCACCAGATCCATAACCACCACCATAGGGACTGCCCGAGCTGCTTCCACCAAAACTACCCCCCTTTCATGGGTCCATAATTTGATTGCTGTTGTCCACTATAATTTCCAAAGTCATTATAGTTTCCACCACCACCATAGTTACCACCTCCAAAATTTCCTCCTTCATTGTAACCATCATATCCTCCACCACCGCCACCATATCCGCCACCTTGGTTTCCATATCCTGGTCCACCACCACCGTAACCTCCTCTGCTACTATAACCAGGACCACCGCCATAGTTGCCACCATCACCTCCAAATCCATTGTATCCACCATCACCTCCTCCATAACTCCCTCGGCTGCCACCACCTCCACCACCATAGCCTCCTCTTCCACCAAAGTTTCCACCACGGCCAGAGTTACCTCCACCACCTCCAAAGTTTCCTCCACGACCCATAAAGTTGCCAGATCCACCTCCACGACCTCTTTGTGATCCAGCAGATTGCATCTCTTGTTTAGAAAGGGCCTTTTTCACTTCACAATTATGCCCATTAATATAGTGTGGTATTTCTGAACAACAATTTTATCAACTGTATCATGATCATCAAAAGTTACAAAAGCAAATCCTCTCTTTTTCCCACTCTGCCTGTCTTCCATAACTTCTATGGTTTCAATCTTGCCATACTTTTCAAAGTAGTCTCTCAAATTATATTCTTCTGTATCTTCTTTAATACCACCAACAGAAATTTTCTTCCCTGTTAGATGGGCACCAGGCTTTACAGAATCCTCTCTAGAAGCAGCTCTCATTGGCTCCACTACACGCCCATCACCCTTGTGCGGTCGCGCACACATTGCTGCATCCAGTTCTTCAACACAAGAGTGAGTCACAAAGCCAGAGCCCCTGGAACGTTTTGTTTGGGCGTCTCTCATCACCACACAATCTGTAAGCGTGCCCCGTTTCTCAAAATGTTCTCTTAAGCTGTCACCTGTAGTTTCAAAGCTCAGACCACCGATAAACAGCTTTCTCAGCTGCTCTGGTTCCTTGGGGTCATGACCCTCCTCCCCCCGGCGGCGGCGGCGGCGGCGGCGGCGGCGGCGGCAACGGCCGGAGTCGGGCTGGGGGCGACCGGGCGGCGGTTTTACCTCCATTTTGGGACCGGACTCGCCTCTCCCAACTCGAGTTCAATATGGGACCGAGAGCCTATATGCTACTTTAACAGAATTGTTTGTTGTTGTTATTCTTCACGCCTTTGTTCAGGCCTCGAATTACTTGTCCATTACTTACTTAAATATTTTTACACAGCGTGAAGTGAGGACACAGCAAGAAGATGATTGTCTGCCCACCCCGAGGGAGCTCTCACCAGAACCTGACACTTGTGGTACCCTGATCTTGGACTTCCAGCTTCCAGAAAGGTGAGAAAATATAATTTGAGTCATGTAATTGAATCACCTAATCTGTGGTATTTTGTCCTGGCAGCCTGATAGTACAGTGGACCCTTGAACAAGTACAGTGTAAGTAAGACAAGTACAGTGGACGCTTGAACATCACGGTCTTGAACTGCACAGATCTACTTATATGTAGATTTTTTTCTACAGTGGATACTGCATTACTGCACCATCCGAGATTGGTTCAATCTGTGATACAGGTCCACGGATAGAGAGGGAACTCAGTTATGGAGGGCCGGACTATAAATTATATACGGATTTTCAATAGTACTACACAATCTAAAGTTTGTTGGTTGAATACAGAAATGCAGAGGAGTTCCAGATATAAAGAGCAGACTATAAATTATCGGCAAATTTTTGCTTGTGGAGGATAGGTGCCCCTAACCCTCATTTTGTTTAGGGATCAACCGTATCTACTATTTGGAATGTTGACGAGCGAAAATTCCTTCATTTTTGATTCTGTGGTCTGGATTGCTAGCTGCTGAGTTTTACCTGAATCTTGGGGTCACCTGATCTTAGCTAATCTCCTTTGCCCAGGGAAATTTCCAGTGTGTCTCAGACTAGGGCTCATTTTTGATCAATAGTTTGAGTATTATGGAAGTTTTCCTGAAAGTGAGATGTGGAAATATAGATGCCTTCTTCCTGTTGAAGGTGTCTATTTGAGTGGATGAATCTAAACTGAAAAATACTGATTATTTCTGCTCACTAGTGGGAAGAATAACAGCTAAAGTGATCATCAAAATGATTGGCATGGCCTGTTATTTCAGCAAGATCATGAGTGAGAGGTACTGTTGAAAGGGAATAAAAGAAGGAATAATACATTAATTATTTTGGGAAAAAGGGGGAAAATTAAGGACTATGGTTGAAATACTATTGTTTTTCTATTTTTAAGAAAATTATGCATTTTCCCACTTCACTCTAGCTTTATAATGTCATTTTATTCAACACAGCATTGCTTCTCCTTGGGAATCATGATGGGAAATTAATCTCAACATTTAATTGCAATGTGTTAGTGTTAACATGCCTTATGAAGGTAGTCAGGAGACAGATCTGTAGGTTTGCTTCTCCACATTCTGATACCATGAGCTAATGGGAACAAGGTTTAGGGGGTCTTAGTGTGCTAATGGGCTTCCTAGGTGGCTCAGTGGGTAAAGAAACTGCCTGAAATGCAGGAGATGCTGGAGATATGAGTTCAATTCCTGGGTCAGGAAGATCCCTGGAGCAGGGCATGGCAACCCACTCCAGGATTCTTGCCTGGAGAATCCCATGGACAGAAGAGCCTGGTGGGCTAGTGTCCATGAGGTCACACAAAGAGTTGAACATGACTGCACGACTAAGCACAGTGGTTTTCTAGTGTTCACATGACCCTGGGAGCTTGTTTGGTTTCAGATTTCCAGAACAATTTCTGGGATACGGGTTCAGAAGGTCTAGGGTGGGGATAAGTATGTACATTTTTAAATAAGCATCTTTGGTAATTCTGATGTAGATGGTCTAAAGATTACATGGCTTCTAAGGTATACCAAGTTAACCTTTTAAAGCCTATTTCCTGTTCAGAAGAAAGTTCTGATCTGCCTATGGCCACTTGAGGCGACATTTAGAGATGCCAGTTTATTTGTATGATTGAATTCATCTGGGTGCTAGTTAATTGAATTGACCCTTGAATGTCTATTCCGGGTGCTTCAGGCTAGGACCATCACCAACTCCCCCCGCCCCCTCCAAAAAAGGAAGAAGACAATGACTCTGAGAGAAAGAAGTGTTATTTAGCTTAAAGGAATGTAACCAGGAATGGAATGCCAGACATCAAGTGTTGGAAAGTTTTGAGTGTAACCTCCCCAGGGTCCTTCACACTGTGTCCCACATAGGCGTGAGGGGTACGGGTAGCTCCGAGGGTGGAACTGAAAGTTCCAACCCCTTATTCACCCCTCCTCCCACTCACCTGATTGCTTCTCTTGGAATTGTGCTTTCTGAAAGTCACCTTTTTTTTTTTTTTTTTTTTCTTTAAAAACTAGTAAACTCAGTTGTGGTTGAACGGGACTTGTTATGAATGAGAAAAAGGATTTTTTTTCCTTTTCGCCTCTAATGCTCTTATCACTTAGGACACTGTTAGTACAAAGGAGAGAAGAACTGGCCAGACTGGTAGGTGGAGATTGGAATAAGCAAGGATATTGACAAACGAGGCTTGTCTTCCACTGTTGCAAGAGGGTTAGATCTCTGCACCAGAGGTCTTAAAAGTTTATGTAGAGGACTTAACTGTTCATTCGTATATGCTGGGCCAACGATCTCAACACCATGGGGCTCTCTCAAAGGTTGCATGCTTGAAAACAGTTCCAGCTGCGGGAATGGTGCGCAGTATGTACATGCCATGGACGGGGGATGGGGTGAGGGGGGTGATGAGCCTCCAGTTGCCCGGGGCCAATTCAGAAGTCAAGGGGAGGTCATGTCCTCTCAATGACCTCCTCCAACAGAAATTCCGAGGTTTTTAAGAACTCTTCCTCCCAGGACTGGGAGAAAGAACGGGTGTATATATTTCTTACTATAAATCATGACATCACAGTCTGCCTCACATGGACGCCTCTGTCAGTGACTTTGCCTCTAAGTGGGTCTGTCCTTAAGGTATTGTTGTTCTGGAGACTTTATTTGCTTTTTCGAGTGTGATTATTGTTTGGTCAGAAAACTATAGCTTTTACTTTAGATAATTGACTTTAGAGGGGTTTGTTGCATTGTTAAATGTTACTTTTATCTAGACTTAGGGCTAAAATATTGCCTGTGGGGAACATATCTTTGGCTTGGTAATGGAACTTAATGGGAAAAATACATTTTGATTAAAAGAAAATTGCTTTATAGTCAGTTTTTAAACAAGAATTGGAACAATTGCATTAGATGAGATAGCCCAGTATACCTACTCTCCAAATGTTATTTACTTTTTGTAGTATGGCTATTTTCAGTGTTCTCTTTACCTTCTTAGCTTTGCCTCCTCCAATCAGATTGTTAGGGTCTGATTTCCTAATTAGGCAATATCTAAGTCAGATAACATGAAGGATACAAAACTCCAATATTTTGACCACCTGATCTGAAAAGTTGACTCATTAGAAAAGACCCTGATACTGGGGGAAATTGAGGGCAGAAGGAGAAGGGGGTGGCAGAGGATGAATTGGTTGGATGGCATCACCGACTCAATGGACGTGAGCCTGAGCAAACTCTGGGAGATGGGGAGGACAGGGAAGCCTGGTGTGCTGCCGTCCATGGGGTTGCAAAGAGTCGGACATGACTGAGTGACTGAACAGCAAACATTTTGGAAACAGTAGTACTATAAAATGTAAGATACTGTTAATTTTATGGAGTCTTCTTCCTCTTTTGTGCTATGCCTAGATCCTTGAGAGAATTGGTCTGAAAGATAGTCTAATTGTATACTATTCTGTGTGCTCACAGATCCCCACCCAGAATCTCTGCCTTCTACCCCGCAGCTTGAGGTAAACAAACTAGAATGTATTGTTAAGTTTCCCTTTATCTGTCTTCTATAAATTCAAGATCAAGTGGTGGAGCTGGAAGTGGAGAGGAGATCTGTAGTTGTGTAGTCGCTCAGTCATGTCCGACTCTTTTGCAACTCCTTGGACTGCAGCCCACCAGGCTCCACTATCCATGGAATTTTCCAGGCAAGAATACTGGGGTGGATTGCCATTTCCTCTTCCATGACCCAGGGATCTTCATGACCCATGAATCTAATCCGCATCTCCTGCATTGCAAGTGGATTCTTTACCACTGAGCCACCAGGGAAGCCTGGAGAGATCGATACATCTGGGAAAAAAATATCTTGTCTGACTCTCCCTAAAGGCTAGTTTCAAGCAGACCGCTGAGCTGTTTTATCTGTCTGCCAGTCTGGGATGATGACCTCTTTTCAAGGTATTTAAAAGAGCAGCATAAGTGTCATATCTCCTCTTCACTGCTGTTTCAATCAGGCTGCTATCAGGAGTTAGACTTCATCCCAGATGGCTGGAATTCAGGAACCTTAGCAGAGTGGTTACTTGCAGGTGAATGGGCCGGTTTAGAAGAATTGAGGCAGGCAGATGCTAGCAACCACGGGAAATAGTTGCTACTCAGCTTTCCTAGTGGCTCAGTGGCGAAGACTCCACCTGCCAGTGCAGGAGACTTAGGAGACATGGGTTCGATCCCTGGGTTGGGGAAGAGCCCCTGGAGGAAGTGAAAAGAAAGTGTGAAGGTGTTAGTCACTCAGGCGTGTCTGACTCTGCAACCCCATGGGCTGTAGCCCGCCAGACTCCTCTGTCCATAAGATTTCCCAGGCAAGAATACTGGAGTGGGTTGCCATTCCCTTCTCCAGGACATCTTCATGACCTAGGGGTGGAACCTGGATATCCTGCGTTGCAGGTGGATTCTTTATCATCTGAGCCAACAGGGAAGCCCTCCTCTGGAGAAGGAAATGGAATCCACTTCAGTATTCTTGCCTGGAAAATCCCATGGGCAGAGGAGCCTGGCAGGCTACAGTCCACAGGGTTGCAAAGAGTTGGATGCTTCTGAGCACATATAGAAAGCTGAAAGATATCCAGTATAATTGTTCTTTACCATCAACCAAAGATTTTCCCCCATTTTCTTAAGTTTCCCATCTGCTTCCCATCAGATACTTTTATTTTTTTTTAACAATGCAACATCTTGACTTCTTGTTAATTCATTAAGTGAAAGTATTTTTGGTTGTAATGTATGAGTATGGGGATTCACCTGAGAAATAGTTGATCAAATTTTTTCACATGAACAAATTGGACTTGGGGAATTTCTAAATGACATGAAAAAATTTTTTACGTGAGTTTGTGTTCTTTGTCATCAGAAAATGTAATTCTTGCAGAATGCATTATTGGTACCATAATATTTAGCACATGTTATTGTCAACTGCATACATGTAATTGAAGGTTTTTCAAAGTGGGCATTTTAATGTAATCTCTGATCCTAGAGATTTCTTGACACTGTAACTTTGATGTGGCTCCTTTGATTGAAGTATGCTTTTATCAGTAGGATTACTACTTTTATTAAAATTATTGTTGGGGTTCAGTTGCCAAGTCACGTCCAACTCTTTGCAACCCCATGGACTACAGCACACCATACTTCCCTGTCCTTCAGCATCTCCCATAGTTTGCTGAAACTCATGTCCCTAGAGTTGGTGATGCCATCCAACCACCTTATCCTCTATTGTCCCCTTCTCCTCTCACCCTCAATCTTTTCCAGCATCGGGGTCTTTTCTAGTGAGTCAGTTCTTTGCATCAGGTGGCCAAAGTATTGGAGCTTCAGCCTCAGTCTCAGGAGCTTCAGTCTCAGGAGCCTCAGTCTCAGGAGCTTCAGTCCTTCCAATGAATATTCATGGTTGATTTCCTTTAGGATTGAATGTGTAAGCTATTTTGTTTTATCCTATACCCAGGTAACATACTCTTGCTGAATTCCACTGTCAGGGATGTGTCGTAAATTGAGGGTGCGGGATGGGATGAGAAATGGGTGAGTTTCCAATATGCAGTGGCCATATTAAAAATAATCCATGCCATTGAAATGGCAGTGGTAAAGTGGCTAGATAAAAAATAAAAACAGAAATGGTCTGCTTGTTTGCACATCTATTCTCTACCCTAAATTGTGAGCAGTTCAGCAGAAACTGAGTTTGGGATCAGCATACAGAAGGATTAACTGCTATATGACTAATTTTCTATATTGCCACTCAGTTTAGCAGTTTGGATTGAGGAAAGGGAAACTACGTGGGTCTGTAGCATTTGATAAACTAGAGGTCCATGAAGAACTATGGTAATGACTGTGAGTGCTGTGTGTGGTGACAAGTGTGCTCCAGCCAGTAACAATGAGGGGATGGTGGACATGGTGGAGTGGTTGGTGGATAGTGCTGGTGAAGGAGTTGTGGAGATAGATACGGGAATGATGATGTTGGTGGCAGAGCTGGCAACATCGGTGGTAGAACTGACGATGCTTATGGTGGTAGAAGACGTAATGAAAGTTGAAGAGGTGAAGATAGTGAGTTGGCCTCACTTCTAATAGAGCTGCTATTAGAAGTGAGGTTGTTGATGGGGATAGGGCAAGTGTTAGTAATGATACTGGTAATTCCATAAATGGTGGTAGAGCTTAGAAATCTTGAAGCTTTATGAAGTGATGTGATATCACATGACATTTAAATTGTTCTGTGTGTCTTTGGCTGGATACAAATAAGGAAGCATGGTAAATTTACTTGCAGAGAGATTTGCCATACTGAGCATTCTCATTGCAGATGCTCTTTAAGTTTTTCCTTAATTACTGATACTTGTACCATGCTGTGCCAAAAAGCAACACTCTTGCCAGTTTCAACACTGTGCATAAGTTCTTCTAATAAATATTATTCAGCCCCAATTATTGGATATTTTTAGAGTAAACCTGGCTTCCCCTATTCAATGCAGTGCTCTTCAGAGTTGATTTTTATCCGGAAAGTGATGCTATTTAGTCAGGGATTATCTTTTATCTCTGTTTGCAAAACAGCTGGAAGTGTAGCTACTGAGATTTGATGTTTGTCTTCCTGCACTTGACTGCCAAGCAAAATCATTTCATTTTAATCGACAGAATTTACCTTTGTAAATTAGCATGTGCATATACCATTGAAAGATTGAAACTACAAGTTTGACCTTCTAGTAGGTATAATACATGATCTTTTTTTTTTTTTTTTTGGATAGATAGAGTGTTCTTTGTCTTTCTCATGGTATGTTTGAAATTAAACAAAAATGTCCGTAGTGAATTTTCCCTTTTCATTGTTTAAAGTAAACCTCCTAAAAAAAAAAAAAGTAAACCTCCTTCTCTCTGCCTGGCCACAGGTGACTTATTCTTCCAACTGGGAGACCACATTTGATTCTAGAGACCAGTATGAACCTGCTCAACACATTTTCAGCTTAAACAACTGAGAATTTTTCTTATTTGATGTATTTAAGAGTATCCACGGTTTATGGTTACTGAATATTTGCTATGCAGCTGGCACTTTTCATGGCTATCTCATGATATGTTCTAATACATTCACATTTTATGGATAAGAAAAGTGGGGCTTTGGGAGCCACACTTATACTTGGCAGAGCCAGGATTTGGACCCAGCTGCTTACTGGTACCCATGCTCTTAACCGTTATGATACATTTCCTGTAGATTTCCACCAATGTGGAATTTAGTTCAACTTTCCTTTTCTACTTGAAAAACCAAGTAGATTTACTTTTTTTTTAAAAAACGTCTGGGTTTTTTGGAGAAGAATAAAGATTGCCCTCCAGGAGAAAGGGAACCATATGGAAATTATCCATTTTATTCTTGACTTAGAAAATGTTTGTTTAAATAATGGGATCGGACTTGGAGTTAGAAATCTGTAAGGTTAGTTACACACTCTACAATCTACCAGCCCCGAGATCACAATTTAGTCTCTTAATCCGCAGAATTTGGGACATTAGAGGCTCCTTTCCCTCATTTGCCAAAGAGAGAAATAATCTGCCCTATTCATCTTAGACAGTAACAACTTTGTAAAGATTGAACTCAAAGTAACTTGACTGGACCCCTGCAGTGATGTCCTAATCAATTTCCCTTCTTCTGATCTCTACCTTGCAAAGTTCTTCTCCATGATAGTTTCCCTAAAGTGTCCCGTTAACCATGGCTCTTGTCTCATCAGAAACCTTCTTTATGTAACCATTAACTGTAGGATAAAATTAAAGTGCTTAACTTGATATTCAAGTTCTTTTGCATCTAGTCCCAGCTTAGCCTTCCAATCACACCTTTCACATTCTCCTTTAAAGAACCTATATGCTACTTTATTTTTTTTTTTTTGAAATTTTGAGATTTTTCATTTGAAGGTAAATCTTAATGCTATTAAATTCACAAATATGCTAATTTAAATACCCAATTCTATTATCTAAAACACACATTGCAAACATACAAATATCTATTCTCTCCACATGTCAGAGCCATTCATTTCATGGTTTGGAAATGGGGAGAATAGATTCCCCTTAAACTGCAAGTCAGCAGGTGTTTCTTTACAGTTAACTTTAGCAAAATTCATACAAAATAGTAATTAACAATGATCTTCTTTACTTGTTAACTCACAAGGAAACACCTTCAAAACTGCATTTTGTTAAAGTTTCTGTACTAAAATGTAGAAAAACTGAACTACACAAATATTGAAAAGTTAAAAATTCCTTAATTTTTTATTCCTGGTACCAGTACCACAATTTACAGGGCAATATACCTGATGTAATGAAAAGAAAAAGACAAAGCTACAACAGATAAAAGACCTCAGGAATGTACATCTAATTGACACTACATTGCATTAATCAATAGCTGCACTTTCTGCAAACTGTGGCTATGACAGTCCTGAACAAGAAGGGTTTCCTGTTTAAGCTGCAGGAACTTTTCTGACTGTGGATCATCGTTCCTCCTGTGGCAGATTTTTACAGTTCCTCTAACGCATTTGGGACGACTGTCTCAGAGTAACCTGCAGCTTTCCTGACAACTCCTCGCTCTCTCTCCTGGTAAGAACTGTAGCCCTTTTCTTCTGAGTTTTTAGAACCTTCTGCTACCATATCCACCACTTCCACCACCAGATCCATAACCACCACCATAGGGACTGCCCGAGCTGCTTCCACCAAAACTACCCCCCTTTCATGGGTCCATAATTTGATTGCTGTTGTCCACTATAATTTCCAAAGTCATTATAGTTTCCACCACCACCATAGTTACCACCTCCAAAATTTCCTCCTTCATTGTAACCATCATATCCTCCACCACCGCCACCATATCCGCCACCTTGGTTTCCATATCCTGGTCCACCACCACCGTAACCTCCTCTGCTACTATAACCAGGACCACCGCCATAGTTGCCACCATCACCTCCAAATCCATTGTATCCACCATCACCTCCTCCATAACTCCCTCGGCTGCCACCACCTCCACCACCATAGCCTCCTCTTCCACCAAAGTTTCCACCACGGCCAGAGTTACCTCCACCACCTCCAAAGTTTCCTCCACGACCCATAAAGTTGCCAGATCCACCTCCACGACCTCTTTGTGATCCAGCAGATTGCATCTCTTGTTTAGAAAGGGCCTTTTTCACTTCACAATTATGCCCATTAATATAGTGTGGTATTTCTGAACAACAATTTTATCAACTGTATCATGATCATCAAAAGTTACAAAAGCAAATCCTCTCTTTTTCCCACTCTGCCTGTCTTCCATAACTTCTATGGTTTCAATCTTGCCATACTTTTCAAAGTAGTCTCTCAAATTATATTCTTCTGTATCTTCTTTAATACCACCAACAGAAATTTTCTTCCCTGTTAGATGGGCACCAGGCTTTACAGAATCCTCTCTAGAAGCAGCTCTCATTGGCTCCACTACACGCCCATCACCCTTGTGCGGTCGCGCACACATTGCTGCATCCACTTCTTCAACACAAGAGTGAGTCACAAAGCCAGAGCCCCTGGAACGTTTTGTTTGGGCGTCTCTCATCACCACACAATCTGTAAGCGTGCCCCGTTTCTCAAAATGTTCTCTTAAGCTGTCACCTGTAGTTTCAAAGCTCAGACCACCGATAAACAGCTTTCTCAGCTGCTCTGGTTCCTTGGGGTCATGACCCTCCTCCCCCCGGCGGCGGCGGCGGCGGCGGCGGCGGCGGCGGCAACGGCCGGAGTCGGGCTGGGGGCGACCGGGCGGCGGTTTTACCTCCATTTTGGGACCGGACTCGCCTCTCCCAACTCGAGTTCAATATGGGACCGAGAGCCTATATGCTACTTTAACAGAATTGTTTGTTGTTGTTATTCTTCACGCCTTTGTTCAGGCCTCGAATTACTTGTCCATTACTTACTTAAATATTTTTACACAGCGTGAAGTGAGGACACAGCAAGAAGATGATTGTCTGCCCACCCCGAGGGAGCTCTCACCAGAACCTGACACTTGTGGTACCCTGATCTTGGACTTCCAGCTTCCAGAAAGGTGAGAAAATATAATTTGAGTCATGTAATTGAATCACCTAATCTGTGGTATTTTGTCCTGATAGTACAGTGGACCCTTGAACAAGTACAGTGTAAGTAAGACAAGTACAGTGGACGCTTGAACATCACGGTCTTGAACTGCACAGATCTACTTATATGTAGATTTTTTTCTACAGTGGATACTGCATTACTGCACCATCCGAGATTGGTTCAATCTGTGATACAGGTCCACGGATAGAGAGGGAACTCAGTTATGGAGGGCCGGACTATAAATTATATACGGATTTTCAATAGTACTACACAATCTAAAGTTTGTTGGTTGAATACAGAAATGCAGAGGAGTTCCAGATATAAAGAGCAGACTATAAATTATCGGCAAATTTTTGCTTGTGGAGGATAGGTGCCCCTAACCCTCATTTTGTTTAGGGATCAACCGTATCTACTATTTGGAATGTTGACGAGCGAAAATTCCTTCATTTTTGATTCTGTGGTCTGGATTGCTAGCTGCTGAGTTTTACCTGAATCTTGGGGTCACCTGGTCTTAGCTAATCTCCTTTGCCCAGGGAAATTTCCAGTGTGTCTCAGACTAGGGCTCATTTTTGATCAATAGTTTGAGTATTATGGAAGTTTTCCTGAAAGTGAGATGTGGAAATATAGATGCCTTCTTCCTGTTGAAGGTGTCTATTTGAGTGGATGAATCTAAACTGAAAAATACTGATTATTTCTGCTCACTAGTGGGAAGAATAACAGCTAAAGTGATCATCAAAATGATTGGCATGGCCTGTTATTTCAGCAAGATCATGAGTGAGAGGTACTGTTGAAAGGGAATAAAAGAAGGAATAATACATTAATTATTTTGGGAAAAAGGGGGAAAATTAAGGACTATGGTTGAAATACTATTGTTTTTCTATTTTTAAGAAAATTATGCATTTTCCCACTTCACTCTAGCTTTATAATGTCATTTTATTCAACACAGCATTGCTTCTCCTTGGGAATCATGATGGGAAATTAATCTCAACATTTAATTGCAATGTGTTAGTGTTAACATGCCTTATGAAGGTAGTCAGGAGACAGATCTGTAGGTTTGCTTCTCCACATTCTGATACCATGAGCTAATGGGAACAAGGTTTAGGGGGTCTTAGTGTGCTAATGGGCTTCCTAGGTGGCTCAGTGGGTAAAGAAACTGCCTGAAATGCAGGAGATGCTGGAGATATGAGTTCAATTCCTGGGTCAGGAAGATCCCTGGAGCAGGGCATGGCAACCCACTCCAGGATTCTTGCCTGGAGAATCCCATGGACAGAGGAGCCTGGCAGCCTTCAGTCCATAGGTCGCAAAGAGTCGGCCACGACTAAAGTGACTGAGGACAGCACAGTGTTAAGATGGGCAAAATACCTCCAATGTGGTTGTTATTAAGCCTGTCCTTATGGTTTTATACAATCTTGATCTTGGGAGATGAGCTGAACTGTTTGTCACACCTTGGTGAGTACATTCTATCCAGGTCATGGGACATCATGAGACTGATTTTTACTTCTAGTGCCTTTATCCCTCTGCTTCCGAGCCCTTTACGAACATATATGTAGTGATGTGAGAATGGAGACATAGGAGATGTTCGGCAAGGTTTGACAGAGGAAGTGGCACTCATGCAATATTCTGAATCTTGGCCTGTATTTCACGACACATGCTAACAGTATCTTATGAGTCCAAGGGACAGGGTGTGTTCAGTGTCCCACCCTGCACTTAGATCTTGGTTTTATCTGAAGTGAAGTGTGTATTAACGATGTCTCACAATAGCATTCAGCACTTTATAGTGATTTTT